GTACTGCAACTTCTGCAGAGCAATTTAGTTCACTTCTTTTACAAACATGAACATATAACATCAGAATACTTTTAAAGATGCAATAAACACATAAATCATTTTAAACATAAGGGCTTTTGCATCTAATTCCCGTTAATTAAAAAAAGCCCTGCATTATGCTTTCCCACGTTCTTGTGTTCTTGTGGGGGTATGAAAATGTGTGTTTCATTTATTCAGAATGTTAATGAATGTGCACAAATCTGGCTCAAATATGAATGGTGAAATTAATGTGAGATTGAGCACACTCTGACCACAAGCTTTGCAACGCTTTTACTAAAAACGATCAATAATGGCTAAAATCACATAGCTGCTATGAAAGCGAGATGCTAATGACCTCTTGGATTACGTCAACACTGATTCAAATGGACCGATGGCGGCTCAGTTTACACTGCTGCATCTTAATAATTGAAGAGTAAAATATTAGACTGTCTGCAGATGAGCATTACAGTGCTTGATATATTAACATGCAGAATATATATGTGGTTTAGATGCTCTCATTTAATGAAGTTGGCGGGCAAGTTTTTCCTGGGAAATGAAGCCATGCCAGCAGTCTGTCTGGGAGCCTGGAGACCATCTCTTACCTGGAAGACTCAGCTACAGGACAAAACTGCTGGCAAAGAAAAACATACTGCATAAATGATGGCCACATGAATCCTCCTACACGAGCTCTGACAGTTGGACAGTTTGGCTTCTTTTTCCCCGCACACATAGAAATCTAATCTGACATAGGGGGTTTGTTTGGTAGGTGAGCAGCGGAGTGGCAGGTCATAGATAAGAGAATTTATGCATGGACAAGATTAGAAATTCATCTTATGGCTGTGTCCCCTCAACATGGACCTGCATGATAGCACAGCTAATCCCACAAGGAGCAGATAGGCGGAGGAAACAAGAAATCTGGCTTCATTTGCGCATAGCCTCTATGTATGAAATGAGGGGGCTGGTGGTATTTTGGATGGGTCAGAAAATACTGTTGTTGTTAAATTGTGTTGCATTGTTCCAAATCAGCTACACAAGAGCACTCATCTGATCCCTGTTCTTCACCAGTGTTGTTACTTTATTTAATTGGCAGATATACTTACTAGTAACTTTTCAGATCGAGCTTTAACAAACAAAACGTGTGATCAGAATATAAAATATGTCTGCCGTAGATTTATTAACTAGCATTTAAAACGAGATCTACCTCAAATTACATTTAAGTGCATCACTAATAATGGCCCGTTCTGATAAAGGAATACTTGTACTTTGGATAATTCAAGTACTATATTTAGATCCTTTAAACTGTGAATGCAAGACTTTCACTTTAGTAAATGATTTGAATGCAGCTTCCACAACTGCTCAACACTCAGTCCCATGTTCCACCTGACACAAGTCCCACAAGGCTGGAGGTACATGCTGTATAAGTGCATTGCAAATGAGAAAGAGCTGAAGAAGGCTCGAGAGATAGAGGGAGCACAATAAGAGAAAGAAAGAGTGCTTTTAGACATGAAGTACATTAAGGGATAAAGAGAGTACATTTAGAGATACAGAGAATACATGCAGAGATAGAGAAGGTGCAATTGAAGACAGAGAGAATACATTTAGAGATAGAGTAGAGATAGCAAGATAGCACCATTTAGAGATGCTTTCAGACATAGTAGACATTTAGAGTGAGAAAAAAAGAGTACATGTATAAAGAGTGTCTTTAGAGATAGAGTACAATCATAGATAGAGAGTACATTTAAAGATAGAGATACCGAGTACATTTAAGCCCCGTTTCCACCAAGCAGTCTGGTTCAGTTCAGTTCAGCTCCATTCATTTTTTGTCACATCTCTGTTGGGGGACCTCGCACACTGATCCAGTAGTAAAACGTGGAGCTAGAAACACTGCAGTCAATTAACTGTGGCTGGTGTTGAAGCTTATATAACCACTATTAATACAATGGCAAGTTTCACATACATTAGTAAACGATGACTATAAAATAAAAGGATGTTTCGCTGCCTCTAGCAGCTGCTGTGGACTGAGAAAAAAATAATTTCATTAGCAGGGCAGACCACTGGCAACTTTTAAGGTGGAACATGTACATGTAATGAACTCAATGCATAAGTCAGGGGTGTAAATGTAGACAGAGCAGGCAGTGTGGTAGCATTCTTGGCCCTTATGAGTGATTGCCAACTTGTATATATGTATATGTGTTGAAAGAAGAACTCAGTGCCATTTGCTGTACATGCCCTTGAAAAAGGCAAACCAATCATTAAACTGTTAAAATTAGTAAATCAAATTAATATTTTTTTTTATTTTCTTTGGTATTTTTTGTCATATACAGATATGCAATGATGACTAGTAGTTAATGTGTATGTTGTATGTAAGTTTTTGGTGGAAACAGGGTGTTAGAGATACAAGGTACACTGAGAGATAGAGAGCACATATACTGATAGATTTCTTTGGAGATACAGCTTATAGTGAGAGATAGACAGAGTACATTTAGGGTGCTTTCAGACCTAGAGTTGTCTTTCTTTGGTCTGAATCAGGGACTCATTTTGTTACAAAGTTGCATAATTGCCTAGAGTTGGTTCGTGTTCTCACAGTAGCATTTACAAGCACAAGAAAGGCTGCTCATGATTGGTCAGAATATTCATGCGGGAAAAATCCAGGAAGTAAACAAAACGTTGAAGAAGAGTACACTTGCAAGATAAATGTGACACTTTCTAATGTCACAATGCAGGAACAACTACGCAGGTTGATTTTAGCGCTGCTCATCGTGGACTATATTGCTGTCATTGTTCATTTTAGTCAAACCATACAGTTTGAAAACGAGGCGCGGCTCCAACTAGAAAACAATGTTTTGATGCATTGGATGTGCTGAATGTGCATATTAAGGCAGTACAGGAGGAGGCGCACATTAATAATCCTCCAGGACTGTAACATGCTTATGTTTAACCCAAACAATGTTTGGGTTAAGGTCGGGACATGTTCTCACCGAGACCACCTATTCAACAAGGTCTCGGTCTTGGGGCGCACTTGGGGGGCAAAGGAACTTGAGTTTGACTGAACCAAACCAAACAGGGCAGGTGTGAAAGTACCCATAGAGATAGAGAGTATATTTAGATCTAGAGCATCTTTAAAGATACAGAGTACATTAAGAGATAGAGAGTACATAAAAAGAAAGAGAGAATACATTTACAGATAGAGAATGCATTAAGAGACAGAGATAGTACTTAGAGAGAGATAGAAGGTGCAGAAAGTAGAAAGTATATGGCTCAAATGTGAATTAAAAAGTAAGGCTGGACCTAAATATTTTACTATTCTGATATTAGTCAATTTTGTAGGTATTCAGTTTTCAAATCTGGAACTCAGATATTTTTTGTTTTTTCATCCATGCCAGGTGCTGTCTCGTATTCGGAGCCCAGTATCGTCAGTATTTATGTAAGTCTGTAATGTATCCATGAAAATTGTCACAAGCCGTTATGTCACAAAGAGTACATAGCTAGGACCTCCTTCAACCAAACCCCTTGGAATTACAAACACAAGGTGATTTGTTAATTTTGAATGTTAATGCGTCACAGATGCAGGACGTGTACCTTGCAACATCACTGTTTATACATTTAGCCTCAGGAGGGAACCATGACCTCAGACTTGGAGGTGCTTCCCCTCATCACGACTGCATCACACTCCAGTGCACATCAAAGATCACGGTCCAGTGAAGCCCGACAGACCCAATTAACCCCAATCACTTAAGTTACACTATAAATAATCGAGGGTGCTAGCTGACGAAACCGCAATTGTCATACAAAATGATAACTGTAGCTGTGGAGTGCTTATCTCACTTTCCTCAGTGTTAAAATCACTGATGAAGCCTGCTGCTAAAAGCCTGGGTCCCATTTGAGTCTTTACACCCAGCGCTTTCTGGCTTTTAAAGAGTTGTGTTTGGGATGATGACTTGCTGGCACACACTGAAATGCTGCAGCAGCTACACTCACTCATCATGTCATCCACCTCGGCACGAGTGTGCCTCTTATGTGCTTTGTTGCCCCTGAGTCGTCCAAAATTAAACACATGGAACTGAAAAATTGAACAGGCTCTAAAAGCTCACTAACAAATGTTGTAGTTCAGTATTTAATCAAATGCTCCATCTATTTGGACAAATCCCCCTTTGTGCTGTTGTGAAAGTAAATGTAAAGAAACAGAAAGGAGAGGAGTTGATGGATGGATGGGTTTGCTGTTTAGGACCCTGGCTGTGGATTGCATTAGTTGATGGTGATTGTGATCAGCAGTTGAAGCTATGAAACCATGAGAAGACTCTAACTGCAGATCAATAGAAAACAATGTCTTGCCCATAGTATCCTGGATTGCCTTTTTTCCTCATTGCCCTCTTTGCGGTTTTACTTTAAGGTTCATAAAGAGGCTGAAGTAATAGACATCAGGTTTGTCTATCTCTGAAATACAGTATACACCGAGCAGGAAGTAGAGCTAAGCAATTAATGGAAGTGCAGCTTTATGAAGCTTTTACTTTTACACTGACTCCCAGTCCATGTACTTCAGATGACTTGTAGGACTCAATAATGGTGCTGAGAGTTGTTAACTCTCTCTACAGCAAAGTGTTTAGCCGTGTTACCCTTACCAAGACATGATGGTCTGCTTTTGTTAAGAGCAAAGTTTTCCTATAGGACAAGCTGTCGGACACTAAACACAACTGAAGAAATGCTTGAGGAAGTTGCATTAAAGGTAGTGCAGAATACAAGGCATTCAGAGACTTGGAATTGCTGTACAACACAACAGATCTCAGACTTAGATTATTCCAGCTGAGGAGATATGTGACTGGAGTAAATGGTCCACTGCCTCCCCTCCTTCACCATCCCGGCATCTCATTGGATTCTGCTCTTCTCTCGTCTCCAAGGAGCTCCGGCTACAAGCACATCCTGTTTATGGCTACAATGAAATCAGATATGTTTGAAAACTGTCATAGTCTGAGATGGCTCACAAGGAGGTCAAGACCAGCCACTCAAAGTATGACTGGTCATTATGGTTGCCCCGAAAACAGTTCCAGTGAACGAGTCCTCCCCAGATCTGCTCTACTCATAAATCTACCTCTTGGTTAGTAACATTAGCTGTAACATCAGCCTCCTGGCTATCGCTCACCTCTTTGGTCTTTCTGGGGGCAGCTTTTTGAGCTGACTGTCATTCATTGCATTATTATTTGAGTTTAAAGCCCTTTCCAACACACACCTATTTTCTTCTCACTTCTTTTCCTGGGTCCCGATTTATATGCAGGTCCAGGTCCTGGCATACGGTTATAATAGTTTGTAAATGTGTAGAAATTATGTGTGGTTTGTTACGCCCCACCCTTGGGGAACCCTATGGGGTGAACAAAACTCCAACACTGACACAAAATAACCACATAAGACATCTTTAAAACATTCAAATCCATGGGATTTATTAACAAATAAACAAACAAACAAGACAACAAAAATCCCATGCTGACAGGCAGCAGGACCAGCAGTCCCCACACCAGAGGCCTCTCCTTTGCTGCAGGCACAGGAGCTCTTCAGCACCTCCTCCATGCCAGGTGCAATGCACCTCGTTAACTAATGCAGCACACCTGGGCAGATCTACAATGGATGGAAAAGGGACAGCAGTACAGAACGCATACACAGCCTAAATAAAATCCTTACCCTTGATACAACTTGTAAAGTGTGGATGACCCGACATGACTTCAGCCAAATGACCTGACGTGACCCGGACCAATTGTTCTCAGAACTGGTTGTCTGCATAACAGGAAGCAACAACGTAAGTAATGGAAATTAACTACATTACCTACAATGCTTGTTTGTCAAACACTATAAATTATCATGATGTCCCAATTCTTTGGCTTTTTCTTTAGATTAAAAGACCCTGAAATATGCGACTCTATGTCTGAGCCTCGCACGTTTTAAGTCTTGTTTATGCAACAACATAATTGGAACTGTCGACAGGATGGCCCTGGAAATGACATCCAGTTTGCTGTGTCTCTTCACTCTGAGCGAGGAGCACACTGTGGCCACATAAAAAGGTAGGATTTGTTTTTATCTTTAATTCTTTATGTGACCTCGCCAGAGTCTGGGGAGATGCAATGACTGATGTCAGAATTTCCCCCCTTGATTGTACCTTGATTCCAGTTTCTGATACCTGTATTAACCCTAATTGAGTTAAAGAGAGAAAACATTTGACTAAATGTCTAAAAAAATTGATTAAAATGTAATGACTTTTCATAGACTAAAACTAGACTAAAACAACGAATAAATATTTTCATCTAAAGACTAACATTATGTTCACATGTGTGCGCTCGCGTAAAAAAATAGAGCTGGATGTCCTGTGTAAACAATCTGGAGTGCAACTGAACAAGCCCAGTTGCTTAACAGGGGTGACGAAAGGACGCAGACAGGTCTACATGAAAAATCAATGCCCTTTGCGTCCACTGAGAAGCTTTCCCCTTTTCAACCCCTATGGGCGGCCCTGCAAACACAGCTTCTGTGCTGAGTCAAGAGTTTTTACCACATCAAAATCCCCTGGATTGGACAGTCCTGGCCATAGTGGTTTAGTCTTTACCAGGCTAGATCTCATGTTAAACTTGAAAGTGCATCTAAATTTCAGTAATGTAATGAACTCGCTTATGATCCACCCTCAAACTTTTGAGTTTCAAGAAACACATTGCCACTGAATACTGAAATTTGTTGAAAACAGTGGCGCTACCTGCGGAGTTAACAAAACGAAACTGTGGACTCTGTTAAAATAGCATTAAAAGCTTGTGTTTCTCAAGAGATTTTAACGTTGCTTCACTTCTCCAGCAGGTAGGTAGAAATCATGTGTCTAGACAAAGAAGAAAGTAAACAATTCAAGTTTAACTCTCACTGGATTTGTATAAACAGACTATCCTGTGTTTACCTAAAGCTAAGAAGAAATTTGCATTGGTATTTTGTAAATTGCAGACAGAAGTAATTCCCATGTGTGTTCTCTGCAGTTCTTACAAATAATTGCACATTCAGGTAAAATTAGTCCCATGTGGAGGAGCTTTTATGTTGTGATTATGCTTTTCTTTTTATTATCATAACTGTTTCATAAGTTAATAGTGTACTTTTAACCCACATCGTGCTCTGACAAATCATCTCATTACGATTTAAAAGTGAAGAAGAAAAGCACAGATTGGGGCTGAAGAGAGGAAAAGGTGCTGAATTACACCCGATGACTTTGGGCACCAATTAAATGAGATTCCGTGCAAACAATGTGGGCGCGCTGGACATGGTGCTCCGCAGAGAGACAGTGAAACTGAGATTTCAAAGGTACTCCTGGAGGGATGCAGGGAACTAAGAGTGGAGAAGAAAAGAAGAAAGCTATAGAGAAAGTGGTGATTTGAGTACATTATGAAAGAAACGGGGGCTGGAGCCTATTTAAAGCACATCTTAGGGGTGTTTTTTTCCCGTTTTCAACAGGGACTGTGGCAGAGCATCATCAGGGGATGCCTGGAGGAGGCAAATACACCCGCATGTGTATTTGTAAATGTGTATTCTTTCAAATACCAAATGCGAAGCCTTTTTATAGTTATGCTTAGCAACATTTTTCTCTACTCATGCATTTTATTTTCAAGAATTAGACAGAAAAGAAAATGGTGACACCATTCTTGCTGTCCTGTTCACAAAATTATAATTCAGTTGAATCACATGTGCCCCCTTTTTTTCTCTTTAATATGCAAAAAGTGCCTTGCAAGAACATCTTCCTCAAAATCTGCTTATTTTTAAGGCAGTGGGAGACATTTTAAAGCAGGTGCTGTAAACTGAGCTCGGAGATTGATTTTTGGATAATTGCAGATCGTGGCGAGCTGTAAGGTTGCAATGAATATGAGAGGTTTGACATGAGAACCAGCTCCACTTACTGTACAAATTGGTTCTTTCTTTTCTGAGCTGCAGTGAGAACAATATGCACCTAAAAGGAGTTCTCACAGTCTGGAGTTGGCAATAGACAGTTTTCTTTCTGATGGACCAAAGGTTCACTCTTGGTTTCATCCGTGAATGAGTGTAAATCCCAGGAGGAAGCAGATCCAGATGTTCACATGTTCTCAGATGTCTCTCAGTGAGGAATCACTATAAAATGGTGTTCAGACTAAAATACAGCGTGAATTTTGGGGGGCATTGTATTGAAGCATGCACATAATGTCAGTGCAAATTCACTGTAGACGGTGCGAGCAGATGCGTACGGAAGCCAAAAATGGTCATCCTTGCACCTATTACTTTTTAATGCCATTATCTCAAGATAAGGAGTATTATTTCTTCATCTCTACATAACAAAGCTTATCGTGATAACGTGTTCTTTAGTAATGTCGATTCCCACGAAAACACAGGATATCATGGGGACCTTGAAAAATATGAGCGTCTGGTTCGTTTGATCACATTTGATTTCAGTCTTCAAGATCACTGTCATGACTTTCGAGGGAAATTCATAAATGATTCATAACTCCTCATGTGTTAGACTTTGATTGAAGTACAGTCTGATGTGTTGATCAATAATGGTTACTCCTTGATCTGACATTTTCATCTGAACATCTGAAAGCAGTAGCTACAGTAGTCAAGGCCCCATTTGTGCATGCCTGCATAGTACTCCTGGTTGCTGATAAACATAACTAGCCTAGTAACAGGAAACTAAAAAACACTCTTGAGATGAAACATCTCTTTTTCAAGGGTGTCCTGGCCAAGACAGGCAGCAGTGTAAAGCCCTTTTTAAATAGGAATTGTGCAAATTTGCAGGAAAGCCCAATCAGTCTTCTTTCAGCATTGGCGTGAGCAATTAACAAAACGTGTAGCTCAGCGTGTGACGTAAACAGTAACGTGGGAGGGAAGCCGCAGCTGGTCAGTCCTTTGGTAATTCTCTCATAAGTTGGCCCGTTGTTCACCGTCCCCGTCATCTGACGGTTAATGGCCTCTTCGTTTGTGAGGGCGAGGAGGGTGCCCAATTCCTTGTCTCTCCAGTTGCTCATCTTTACTGTAGTGTCTGTCAAGTTTGCGTTTCCCTCTTGCTACTAGTACTAGCTGCTCATTCCTGCTATCAGCTGTTAGTCCACCGCCAGTGGGTCACACGTGCGGCGTCATCAACAGCTCCTTCCACAAGTCATCAACAGCCCCTTCTGTGGCAGAAGGGCGCCTCGGGTTGCTACTGTAGACCTGTTTTTGGCTGCTATTTAAAGACCCAGAACAAACAGGCTGACAGTTACTGCAAAATCTGATTATCAGAACTAAACAGATTAAACTGCAATGAAAAAGTGAGTTGTTTAATTACATAAACTTCCTCCTTGCCAGATTGATAACAGGTGTTAATACCCAGTTCAGAATTTTGGCCACACTCCCTGAGCCTGTGGTGGAGTTAGGTTTTAAAGAGTGGGTACAGTGCTGTGATGGCAGCAAGGTCAAGAGAAGCAACCTGGAGCCTTCAGTGGGACGTAAAAAGCACCAGGCAGAGGAAAAAGTGTAGATACTCCAAATAATAATAATAATAACAACATTCCTAATCTGTGTCAAAAAAGAGATGTATTTCCATGTTTAAACGTGGCTCAAAACTAATGAAAATATTAGAGTCCATATGGGTGTTTTACAAGTTTATACATTTAACATTCACTATTCCTCACTTCTGTTAAAGGCTATGTTGTGTAGGAGCTCAATAATCAGGGTGCCCAGTGTAGTATATGACATATTGTAGATTCTGTAGATTATTTATTTCACCTCACTAAATCATTCAACCATCTCTGAACTTCTTGTTTTGTCACTATTTGTTGGTAAAAAATGACACAAAGTGTTGTCTGCTTTTGTGCAGGAGGTTTTTATAAGTTTAGTTTTTTTTTAAATAAATAGTAATATTGATACATATTTAAACATTTGTATGATTACACCGGACTGATGAGCTTTTGCCAATGGATTATTAGGAGCTGAAAAACTAGACTATTTGTTTATCACACTGCAACATTTCTAACTGTTGTAACTTTCTAACATCATAAGACACTGAGAGAGACATAGGCATTTTTGAGCAAATTCAACTGAAGCCAATTTAATAATATAGCAACAGATCACAAAAATGATCTCTGAACACTAATCAAAAACCAACAAATTTCCACATTTCCCACCACAAGCAAGCACTGTGGCAACGGCGGCAAGGAATAACTGCCTTTTAACAGGCAGAAACATCGAGCAGAACCAGGCTCTGTGGTGGGCGGGCGTCTGCCTCAACCGGTTGGTTTAAAGAGAGGGGAGGAAGAGGAAGTGGGGGAGGGGGGCTCGATCAGCTCCTGATGTATCTGGGAGTCGATGATATCCCATGGGGCCTGAAGAAGACCACAAAGCTTCAGTTTATCAACCCAGGCTACTATTACACAGCATTGTTACATGTTATCTGAATGGTTGTATTTACATGCTTTCCAGCAGGACCAGCAGAGTGCTGGTGATCCGGCACTGAAGTTGGCACCTAGGGAAGGTCAGCAACACGAGAGGATGTCAGGCTCCAGTCAGGCTCATTTAACAACATGCTGTTATAATCTCACAAGAGACATCAGATGCAGTGCAGAGGACTACTTTGTCAACTTTGATGGGAACTGAACAGGAAAGTTACTGTGATGTAAATGAGCCCAATAAGCAAGAGAGCTGTACAGTACTGTGTCTGACAATGTTCAGTATTCACAATGTAGTCTGACGTGTGTTTTAAATTCTCTATAAGCTGTCTAATTACATCTGAAACAGTTTGTGACATAAATATTTTTTCTATCCAAAATATAAAAGTGAAATGTCTGACAAGGTCGTCCCTGCAGTGTGGGCACTGTCTGCGGGCTGCAGGCCTCCTGGCTCTCTGTGACCTGCGTGCAGAAGGCTGCAATACACAGTCATGTTAGTATGAGGCTTCACAAGTACAGTAAATGCAACAAACAGTGTTAAATCACAAGAGACTCGACTCCACCCTGTTGGAACCGCCCACCTCCTGAGGTGATAGAAGCCCGCCTCAAACCTCAGCCCTTCCTTTTCTCTCCTTCCCTCCAAAACCACCAGACAAAGAAAGCTGCCTGAAGTACCCTCCTTTTCTATAATGGTAAATTGTGGATGCATAAATGTGAAGTAAGTTAAGTTCATGGACCTTGATTTATTGTTAACATCTGTGTGAAGGTGGAAATTTATGTTTTATGACTTATCCTCTATGTTTATTCTGTGCAGGAAATCATCCACCACCCTTTGTTCCACTCTGCTCATCCTTGTAACCTCAAATAAATTGCCAAGAACAGACTGCCGGTTCCTGTGTTTAAATGTGCACACCACACTGGATGCTCCCCTGAACCACCGCCACATACAGCCTAGTTTTTTCATGGTCCTTCGAGCCGGAGCGAGCATCCATGCTGGGCGATGGATCCTGTTGGGAATAGAATGATGTTATGTGTTTTACTATAAGTTGTGTTTCACTATATAAGTTTTAGATGTGTGAACAATGAGAATACTGAGATGATTTCAGCTGATCTGAATGTGTTTGCTTTGCAGAAGTGGAGAAGTACAGGAGAGGAAGAGACATGAAGTCTGAGGAGCACATACCGCAATGCTTAGATAATTAGTTTCATATATGGTAAAAAGAATAGAAAGTGATATACAGATAGTAAGGTACAGCACGTGTAGGGAGTTGTGTTGTTCTCTTGTCTTTCAAAACAGGAACCACGCCCCCACCGCCAGCGGGAAGGAGTCAGATTAACACGAGGCAGGGGCGTGGTGTGGTGAAGGAGGAAGTGGAACTGCCAATGAGAAGAGGACAACGCCTTGCGTGCACAATGACACTCTGTTAAGCTCAAATATACTGGGTCAGGGAAAGGACAGGAGGTCAGACTTCGTGAACTGACACACCTTTGTTGTTCGTCAGGGACGTGAAGTTGAGACCCAGAGCTCTGTAATTTTATTCCTTTACTGCTTAATAAACTACATTAACTGAGACCGAATATCTTCTCCTATTGCTTCATTAAAGAACACGCAGGACTGAGCTCACACATAGCACATTAGAGAGTAGGATGAGACTCTTAGTCCATCAATCCACAAGCTGTTCTGTCGCATGATGGGAGAGAGCATGGAGAAAGACCACAACGGGAGAGAATGCCCCCAAGGTACCTACAGGACTACCAGACTGAACTTTACGGCAGGCCTCCTCTGCAATCACTGCAACCAAGACAAAGAGCAGAGCCTGTCTCAGAGACCCCTGAAACTGACTTGTTAAGGGAAGAAGTTGCCCAACTTAAAGGTATGGTTCGAGACTTGATGGACAGAGTTCAGCAGTGTGAGCAGAGTCACTCGGAGGGAGATTTAGAAGAGGAATGTGATATAGAGCCCCAGGAGGCCCAACAAGCAGCATATGCATCTAACGACCCCCTACCTGCTGATAAAGGGCCTCAATGTGAGAAAGCCCAGTCTGAACCGAAACTATCTGAATCAGCGCCTACTTTAAACCCTGGAAAAGTTTCCCAGTCAGCCCAGACCCTTTTCCCTTGCATCCATAAGACATCTGCCTTTCTAGAATGTGAACATAAGAGACCTGTTTCAGCTCCATATGTAAGATCTGAGCCACAAATGCCCGAATCTCCTAGCCCATTACCTTCAACTTCAGCAGCTTATATGCCACCTCTAAGTTCAGCCATACCAGTTTCAGAGCACTTAAATTCAGTGTTGTCGTCTAATGTCACCTCTAGGTACCCACCTGCAGCTGGGCCGCATGTATATCAAGTAAATCCTCACGTTCCCTCTCAAGTACCACTGCCAGTACAGATGGCACAAGACCCTGTCTCCCATGTGTCTTCTCATCAGGTGTATCCCACAGCAACATCCCAGAGCATTAGCACAGCACTCATGGGCTATGCCCTCCCAGTCATTTGCCATCCCATGCAATGCAACCTCCACCAGTCCCTGCACCTCAAGCTCCGCTAACCAGTTCACAGTCATATGCTTATCACTCAAGCAATGTTGTTCCATATCAGTTCCACTACATGCCCCCTCAGGTCATACAGCAACCTCAAGTTCAAGGTACTGTGCCTCAGCCAGCTCCAGTTTCATATGCCCCACACTTTACTGGAGCTTTCCCTCCCGCCAATCCAAGCTTCTCTTTACCCGTGGCCCCTGTGCAGCAAACTATGGGTTCCAGGTTTTCAACACGTGTGGAGGGACCCTCGCTCCCTTACTTCAGCCATGATGACCCTCATGAGTTTATACTGTTGAAGATGGCTCTGACTAACCTGCTACCTGTAGATGAACCTGAACTGTACAAATTTCATATCCTATTGGATCATCTACAGCTCCCCTTTGCCCGCCATATTGCCCTATCCTATGCACATGATCCACAGCCTTTCATTATGGCACTAGCCGCCTTAGAGCGACAGTATGGTCAACCGCATCAGCTGGCCCTTAGAGATATGCAGACTATATTGAATCTCCCTAAGGTAGCCCATGGAGATGCTGCAGGGTTTCAACATTTTGCAGTCAGAGTAAGATCATTGGTAGTCATGTTACAATCTCTGAGATCAAGAGAAGGTGATGCAGAGTTAGCATGTGCCTCACATGTGCAGAGATTATTAAGTAAACTGCCTGTGGAGCAAGTTTCTAATTTTACCAGATAACCAGCTCGAAACAAGATAACGAGGCCATAGATCTCCTGTATGCAAAAACCACACGAGTGACTATAGATGGCATTAACTGCTATGCAACCCCTCTGCTAAGAAAAAAAGATGCACCTGCACTGTATGCCCCAGCTCAGTCATTAATGCCCCTTCTCTGCAGATCTGAGCGCAAACTTGAGAAAAATCCTGCTCTGGCTGAAATCTACAATAAAGAAATTAATAGACTAAAGGAGGCTGGTTATGTTGCAGAAACTAACCCTGGGCAGATCACCACAACCCAAGAATCCTGGTATATCCCCCACCACTTAGTGGAACACAATAACAAACACTGTGTTGTATTTAACTGTTCCTTTATATACCAAGGCCAAGCCCTTAATGGCCACCTCCTTCCTGGGCCCATTCTAGGCCCATCCCTGCTTGGAGTCATGCTTCGCTTCCGCCAGCACAGGGTTGCTATGAGTGGAGATATTAAAGGAATGTTCCACCAAGTGAGGCTGTTACCTGAGGACAAAAATATTCTCAGGTTCCTGTGGTGTGATATGAAACGGAAAGAGACCCCTACTGTTTATGAATGGCAAGTACTCCCCTTTGGAACAACATGCAGCCCCTGCTGCGCAATTTTCGCTGTCCAAAAACATGTACAGGATCACCGTAAGGGTAATGAGGATGTAGTTGAGACTGTCTCTGAGTCATTCTATGTTGACAACTGCCTTAAGTCCCTTCACTGCCCTGACCAATCAAAGAAACTCCTCCTCAAGATACGTGCTTTGCGATCTATGGCCTCTTTATCTTTATCCCTTTCACTTCATCAAGGTATGATGCTCTAGATGAGCACAGACGCGCTGTAGCCTCATCCATGTCTTTAACAGGAGTCGTTTCTGACTTGTCAGAACTTGCCATTTCATTCACAAATAAACATCCAAAAACATCATCAAAAGGTTTAGAAACAGTTTTCCTTCTTTCTGACTTCAAGTTACTTTATTAATCACCTCAGGTTCATACAAGTTCATATACACGGACCGTGCGTCACCGCTCTCAATTGTTTGGCCACGTCGGACAAAAAGTAGCCAAATAAAAAATCAGAGTCTATCAAGAAAACAATCAGTGGTGAAATTTGTTTCAAGACACTTCTGGTAAATGAATAATACTTCAAAACGGTTTGATTTGAGAGCACATACCTCCTCGAAAGTCTTTGTTTATGCGCTCTGCCATGCAATGTATCCAAATAAAAAATCAGAGTCTATCAAGAAAACAAAAGCAACAATAGATGTAAAAACACATAGAGGCAATGCATCTGTGATTAGTTCCCTAATTTAATTTTAACAATTTTTTCAATCTTCTCCAATTTCTCGTTTTATTTTATGGAAGTGATCAATGTAAGTGCACTTGTCCTAGAACTGCCACGACGGTCTTCAGCTGGTGCGGCCGAGCTGCAGGTTCCTGACGGAGGCTGGAGATGGAGAGGCTAAGTGGATCTGCCAGAACCTGCGGGCAGGGGTCGCAGGTTGCTGGGAGAGGCTGTAGATGGAGGTATTGCCAGAGAATGCAGGTGGAGGCGGAAGCTGCATGTTGTTGGCAGAAGCTTAAGGTGGAGGTTGACAGAGGTCCAAACTTTTGGTAGATGGAATTGTGCTCCCATGAGAGGTGGAAGTGGCAGCTGCAGGCTGCTGTCAGAGGATCTAGTTGGAGGTTTTGCCAAGGTGTCTGCCAGAATCTACAGGTGGAGGTTGCAGGTTGGTGGCAGAGGCTTTAGGTGCAGGTCTGACCACAGCTGTCTCCCCGACTCTGCAGGTGAAGAAAGCAGCTGGGGTTGCTGGAGGGTGCTGTAGATGGAGGTCTGGCCAACCAGTCTGCCAGACAGTAAGTGTACCGGGACCCTAACCCTAATTGGGGGAGCTCCACGGGATTGGAGCCTGAAGTTGTAGCCCTGGGCCATGTGAAGGGAAAAACAAATCCAACTCTGACACCACTTGTCCTAGAAAATTCATCACATCACATACTGAATTGTTCCGTTAGCACACATTCAGCACTGGTAAAAATTGAGTGTACAGAGTACAATAAAATGTAACATCTCTGACTGTATGTTAATGCCACACTCAGATGTTATTGTTCAGATAAATTTAGTCAGAATCTTCTTTTGAAAACTAATTCATATTATAGCCTTTCTTTAAGTCACAATAATTAGGTTATTTCTAAACTCAGTTTGTCCTTGTAAGAGTCTGAAAACTTTCTGACAGCACACTTATAGTCACTGATGGATGACTGAATGGACCTAATGGGCACAAGTGTCTAGGCCCCTCTGGCCATCACTAAAAAGATGCTAAGGAACTGCAAAGAGACACAAAAACTACAAAAGAGACAACAGACACAAAACAACCAAAATAGACACAAACCTCGACCCCAAAGAGACTCAAAATGACCTCAGAGAGACACTTAATTACCTCAGAGAGACTAAAATGACATAAATTGACTTTAACAAGACACACAAGGACCCTCAAGAGACACAGCATTACCTACCTAGGAGACACAAAATAGCCTCAGAGACAAAAAAAATAATAATACAATGACACAAACTGAACTCAGAGAGTCAAAATGACCTTTCAGAGACACTTAATGACCTCAGAGAGACACAACGTGACTAAAA